TATAATATAATAAAATTAAATAATTTTAAAATTGAAATTAAATAAAAATAAAATAAAATAGAATAGAATAAAATATAATAAAATAAAATAATATCAAATAAAACATAATAAAATAATATAAAACAACACACAACAATTATCATTAATCTTAATCAGAATAAGCGATTGTTTTGTTTTCTTAAGAAATTTGTTTCTACATGTAAACATGAATGTTTATAAAGAAAATATATAAAATTATTAACATAAATGTTTATAAAGAAAATATATAAAATTATTTGAAAACTTTATAAGTTAATGTCTATCTACATTTTTTTATAATATTGTTAAATTCATATTAAATTTTCTAATTTATGTTTAATTTCTTTAATTTACAAATAAAATTTTTGTAATACTTTGATTATGATCATCTGAAATACACAATTGTTGTCAATCATGGAAAGCTAAATTAGACAAGGTAATGGTGTGAATCGTGGTTTCTGGTAAGTTTTGTTTAGGGGTTTTAGTCATGGCAAATACGAGTTCACTAGAACCAAGGATGGCTGCAATATTGTCAAACCAGGGGTGGGCAGCTCGTGAAGGTTATCCCAGCTCAACCTTCAGTGACTCTATCCAACCATAGGGATCTGCCGTTTCTACAGTCAAACGTCCTTCTGGTCTATTTTGGGTAGGCATTTCGTAGTGTAACCGTTTTGTGTTTAATATTTTGAAATTATAAGGCACGAATAAATTTTTAAGTGTAGAGGATACAAGTGGAAAAGAACCACTTCCAAATCCCGACGAGCTGATGCCGTCCACTTACCCCGAAGTTCCTCACATCTTTGTCTAGTGTTATAAGGGAGAATTTATACACCATATATCTGACTTCCAAGTAAAATTTATTTATAATTAGATAAGACATTATTTATTTTAAATATTTTTATTGTTTTGACAAATTATTTAGAACATTTCCACTCTGTATTTTGAACATTTCTTTACTGGTGTGTACAGTAAAGTACTCAAGCATTGTACGTAGCGTAAATATGTAGGGGATAATAAGTCGATTGAAGAAATGTTCGTTATTTTTCATTTTTAAAATAGTTGAAATAATTTTGTAAAACAAGTGACTTTTATTAAAACCTATCACATTTTCTAAAAGAAAACATTAATCATAGCATGTTATAAACTTTGATAATATTAATAAAATTATTTTTTTACCACAGATTTGAACTACAAAAATAGCATATTTATGCAATTTTTCCAGCATTGGTTCTGGTCGAATTTCGACCGTTGGGCGAACTCTAGTATCTATAATTACTCGAATATTGGGTTTTGCCCTTATAAGTTTGATATTTTTGTATGTTTGAACGTTATAGAATAGGTCTGGAGTAGGTTTCTTTTTATTATGAAATTTCAAGTGGGTGGGGAACCACGCCCATATTAAGAAAATATCTAATCCGTATATTTGAGATAATATAACAGAGTCCTCAAATTTTGTCGGAGCCATTTTAGTGTCAATATGATTATTTTGGATAAAAAGTAGTCGGACTAGCATTAGGGGGAGTGGCACCTCCCATATAAATTAAATACAAAAATTCGTTTATCTTGGAAACTGTTACAGTTAGAATCTTAAAATTTTGCACGAATAACTTCAACATGCATTTAAACATTGGGTAATAAATTGGCGGACTGCCAATGGGGGGAGCGGCACCTCCCATATGAATTAAATACAAAAATACTTTTATCAGGGAAATTAATAGAACAAGATTCTTAAAATGTTTCACGAAGAAATTTAATATTCATCTAAACATTTTGGAGCATAAAGGACGGACTTTAATCAAGGGGAGCTTGGCCCCCCCATATGAATTAAATAGAAAAATATGTATATCTGATCAATGATCATGTGAACATTTAGAGAAATTATATGAATTAAATCAGAGCAAAGCATTTTCTATGCACGCGTGCTTTTCGATCGTTACTAAATTTACAACAACACCCTACAAGCATTTTCTATTGCGGAAGTTACTTGTGTGAAACTTCCAAGTATAAGAATTCTTGTCACCAGTCGGGAAGAACTGATGCCGAGCTGGGGAACGTCTAAGAGTAACGTGGAAGATACTTCTGGAAGACCCGCAGAAGAGAAATCTAGATGACTCTTGGAAGTAAGGTATTGCCAAAGACTCTTCTAGATGTGACTAGGAAGTCACTTCTTGAAGTGACTACTTAATATCATCTAGAAGTGTTCCTATCTTATCTTCTAAAAGATGAGATAAAATAAATAAGATAAAATCTATAAAAATAAATCTAAATAAAATGAAATTTTATAGTTTTTATTGAAACAATTGAAATTAAAATAGTAGAAAAAATAATTGATTTAAGAACTAATCTAAAAATAGTAATATAAATATGTACATTAGACCGACTCACAAAAACTGGTGCTTGAGTTACCCCCTCAAAATATTCGTTGTAATGTAATATGATGTTACCCAAAATATTTTCGGTTAAGTGTTGTCCATTAGTGAGCTGAACAGTTTTAAAGAAAATATCGTATGGGAACACGATTCTTCATGTTATATTTAATATTTTACCCAGTTTCAAAAAATCTTTGTTATGTTTTATAATGGTTCCCAAAATCTATCGATTACAAAAAAGCCCCATTTTAGTTATTTTTTTTGTTTTAATTATACAGCATTTCTTAAACAATATATACAGTCTGTGGTATCATTTGAAAGGTTTGAAGCCAAGTCTAGTGGTGCGCAAAATTGTGCATACATTTTATTTTTCTTAGTGAAGAACCTAACAATTTTAAATATTTTGGAATATTACAATTATAAGCAGACGGTTATTAATGATTTATACATCATTGGACGCTACTTTAAAATACTTTTTAAACGATACCCCGTATTGGATATTTTATTTCAAAACAAACAAAAATTTTAAAAAAATATTTCCAAAATAGCTTTTTTTAATTTAGTCCAGCTCACGAACGGTCATCGCTAGACTTAAAATATTTTTGGAATCATCATAAAACAAAGCAAGGTAAATTTTGAGAGGGGTCACAAAAACACGTTTTTGCTTTCCATACGGAGTGAGTCGGTCTAATGTACATCTGTATCAAAAATTTAGAATTATTACCTTATAATAAGATAATTTTCAGGAAATCTGTATTAATATTCCAACTGTTGACTGGTATACTTCCAAAAAATGTAAAACGTTGGACTCAAAAATATTTTTGTAGTTCTTCATAAATTTTATGATCAATCCAGCAAATTGTAAGAGTTATATTTTGGAACGCATTAATCCTTCAACGAAATAAACAATAATAGTTTTATAATTAATATTGAATATACATACTTTTGTATTTATTGAAATTACCTGTTATACTTTAGGAAGCAATAAAAATAGGATTCTCTTATGATCGAAACATATCCCACCAAAGTTTAAACGGTCAGATCCATTTTTTACATTTTCTGCAAATAATCTACATTTTTAATGTAACCGCGTGATGAAATAAGACATATATAACTTACCAGATCCCTTTTTTATATTTTAATTCGATTAGAAGTATTTTAATAGGGGGTACAATATTAGCTACTGCTTTCTAAAAAAAAAAAAATAAAATAATTAAAAATTAATTAATTTATTTATTGTTTTGAATCAATAAAAACATTGCCTTTCATGAACATTTTTAAATAACTTGGAATTAAACCGTCTATAAAGATCTGAAATTACTAAGTCATGGATTATTTTTAAAATTATTTACAGTCACTAACGATAGAAACACCTTAACGACCCTAAACGGGATATTGCTTTTTACACAATACTATTTTTTGTTTGCTCTCTTCTAATTAAGGAGTTATACATATTTTATAATATCATATAAAGGTCATAGAAAGACCTGGTGTTAATAACTAAAAAAGTACCTATAATTAGAATTGTTCGGGCCACTATCCAGAGATGACAGCCACAAGATTTAATGGGACCACTGGTTGCCGGCAATTTGCTGGTTCTGTTGAGCCTTTTGTTTATGTACAATATATTTTATTTTGAGAACACCAATTCTCCTTAATTTTGGTACTATACCGTTGAACCACCACTTTACTTTGATTATTTAAAACACCTTAGTTTTTTTCACTTTTAACAAAATTTAATTTTATTTAAAAACAGATTTTAATGTTGTTGATGCTGCTGTTGGTTGATCAATGGCAAAAAAAAAACTTTGATAAAAAATTAAAGTTAAGTTAGTGGTAGATAAACACATCAAGAGTTGCATTTATTAGTATCAACTAAAGCTTTTGTCAATGAATAACCATTGTTGTACAACTAGTGAACAACAGATGGCGCCAGACTAAACTACAGTAGTTGACATAAAATAAGTATGTTAAACAACTGGCACTAACATATCGCCCACCTTGCACTAATGTGCAACATGATATGTGTATGTATGAACTACCAGCATCAACAACAAATCAAATAATAATACAATTCATTTTTATATCTTGGTGCCACATCTGCTCCTAATATAAGTTCGATGCATAATGAGGAATACCATTTAGGGTCAGCGACAACAACATCTCGTTTATTTCTCCGTACCCACTCATCACATACGTCATGAGATGGAAAGTGGCGAAATGAATAATGCTCTAGAGCACATTGAACCAATATTTTTTTATGGTCATATCTACGGTGACTTAGTGTTATCCATGTCCGGTTTTGGAGAATGTTACATCCAATACTATGGGCAAATGGCTCATGTATGGATGTTCGAGACGCATTTGGATCTACTCTCATGCGGACTTGTACGTACCGTGACGATCCTTGGTGGGGATACAATTTGGCTTCGATCGTCATAGGGAACCAAATATGACCAGGGTCAACGGGATGAAGCATAGTGTTGTGTTGCAGATGGCATCTTCTACAACGATCGATGCTACGGCATTCGCTACGTTTATGAGATTGGGCCAAGCAATTTTTACACAAACTGTGTTCTAGAACCGTTCGACGCTTCTGTTCAACTTTCATTGCTAAAAATCGCGTACATTGGCGAATAGCATGGAGCCTGTTACACAAGGGGCAACCGTAGTTGGTGTTAAACCAAGTTTCTTCTGCCATGGCACTGCAAGAAAATTGGATTATTACAAAGTTTGAAAAAAAGTATGTGGAAAAACGAGTGGTTAATACGTGTTTCAAAGGAGTAGTTTATGATTTAGTTTCGTTAGATAAAAGAACTAACATATGAATGGGCCTCGTAATGACTCCATTTTGAGTTTTAATATCAACTACTCGAACCCTTTGATCTCTACCATGATATATCTTAATAATACGCCCCAGTCGCCATTCTGTAGGGCAAAGAGGTTCACTTCTAAGAACCACTAAGTCATTTTCTTTTAGATTTTTCTCCGGAAATTTCCATTTATTGCGCTTATGCAGCTCCTTCAAATATTCATCTTTCCATCTGCGACAAATGTCTTGTTGCATAGCCTTCACTTTGCGCCAACGATTTATAATACTCATTGGCGAGTTGAGTTCTTCAGGTTCAACTGGAGTAAGCATTGCGGAGCCAATCAAAAAGTGAGCAGGAGTAAGAGCGGATAAGTCGTCAACATTTTCTGACAAAGGGCCAAGAGGACGCGAGTTCAGACAAGCTTCTATGGTAGCTAAAAGAGTGGAAAACTCTTCAAAGGTGTATTTAAGCTGACCAGCCATCTTTTTGAAATGCATCTTGAAGCTTTTTACTCCTGCTTCCCACAGTCCACCCATATGAGGAGCTGCAGCAGGAATGAAGTGCCACTTCAATCTTTGATGACCGTACTTCTCGACGACAATATCTCGTAAATCTTTTATATGCTTCTCGAAGTTTGCATCAATTTCTTTCGAAGCACCAACAAAATTTCGACCATTATCTGAGTAAACACAACTAGGGCAACCTCGACGAGCAATAAAGCGGGCCAACGATGCTAAAAAGGCAGTGGTGGTCAAGTCACTAACCGCTTCAAGGTGAATCGCCTTAGTAGCAAAACAAATGAAAAGACATACGTAGCCCTTGGTGATTTTACAGTATCGGCCGGTGAAACTTTTTATTTCGAAGGGACCAGCGAAATCAACCCCTGTATTCGTAAAGGGTCTACATAACGTGGTTCTCTCCTTTGGTAATGGAGCCATAAGTTGTCCTTGTCGTGCCTTACGGTATAAAATACATTCTTTACAGTTATTTATACACGATTTTATCAGAGTCTTTGCCTTAAGTATCCAACACTCATATCGAATAACGCTATGGACCAATCTCAAACCTCCATGATGAACCATTTCATGAATTAAAACAACATATAAACGAGATAGTCTACTGTTATAGGCCAAAATGATAGGATAACGCTCATTGTAGGACAAACTGGAAGAAGCACTAAGACGACCATTGGCACGAATAATTAGGTGTTTATCCAAAAAAGGAGTGAGAGTTAGCAACGGGCTACTTGTTTCTATTTTCCTTTTATTAAGAAGACATTTGTAGTCATTAGGAAAATATAACTGTTGTGAAAGCGAAAATAATCGGTTTCTCACAAAGATTAATTCATTAGCAGAGAGTTTTAAAGAGTTTAAATTAGACCTTTTCTCTGCTTTGAATCTGGTGTTGTTAAAAAAGCGAAACATGTAAGCAATGACATGAATAGCCCTAGACAAATTAGAAAACCGGTCTAAGATATCTTCCCTTTCAGCAGAGCTAGCAATATGAACCTGTACACTTTTAATTTCCTCAGCTGTTTCAAATTCTGATGAACCCAAGGGCCACGAACTTTTTGACCACTCTAGCCATTTCGGGCCATTCCACCATAGATTACAACTCTTTAGCTCCGTAGGGATCAGCCCCCGGGTTGCTAGATCTGCAGGATTATCTTGAGATTTTACATGGTGCCAATTTTTATTACCAACCTTTTCTAAAATGGTGGCAACCCGGTTTGCTACAAAGGTTTTCCAAGTACATGGTGGTTTCTTTAGCCATACAAGAACTATTGTCGAATCGGACCAAAGATAAAGAATATAATTTTTTAACGAAAATTGAGACATAATATTATCAACTAACTTCGCTAAGAGTACTGCACTACATAATTCCAGACGCGGAATGGATGGTTTCTTAATTGGAGCCACTTTTGTTTTTGAAACCAGCAAATTTGTAAATATTCTATCTCCTATCTGAACCCTTGCGTATAAGGTTGCGGCATAAGCTAATTCTGACGAGTCGCAAAATCCATGAAATTCAATATGTGAACTCGGTGTATATTGAATCCAGCGTGGAACCATGATTTCATTTATATCATTATATCTAGCAATAAACGAACGCCAATTTCGAAAAGCTATTGGTTTAATTTCATCATCCCAACCAATCTTATCGAGCCACATTTGCTGCATTAAGATTTTGGCTGTTACAATAACAGGAGCGAGCCAACCTGCAGGGTCAAAGAGCCTAGCAATTACAGAAAGTACCTCCCTTTTAGTATAAGAAGATTTTACTGGAATTTTCTAAGTGGTAAAATAAAAATAATCAGCTGAAGCATTCCAATGAACACCTAGAGTCTTGGCAGTACTTTTATTTTCCAAACTTAAAAAATCTTCATTTAACAAATCTTCTGTGGGCAACCCTACTAAAATTTCTTTCATATTCGAAGTCCATTTTCTTAACTGAAATCCAGCAGAATCCAGTATAGCTATAAGCTGGTTTCGGGCTTCTATTACATCAGGTAAACAATGAGCTCCTACTAATGCGTCATCTACATACATGGAATCTCTTAATATTGTTGCACCTACAGGGTAACGATGTTCTTCATCATCTGCCAACTTTAAAAGAGTTCTTAGTGCCAAATAAGGAGCACAATTGACACCAAAAGTAACTGTCTTCAATCTATAGTCTTTTATCTCTTCATTAGGAGAGCCACGATAAACAATTTGTTGAAAACGAGTTTGTTCTGGGTTTATGAGAATCTGCCTATACATTTTCGAGATATCTGCATTGAAAACAAATTTATAAAATCTCCACTTTAGTATCAAAAAAACTAAATCCTTTTGAAGAACAGGGCCTACATGTAAAAGGTCGTTTAAACTAATACCACTAGAAGTAATACTCGATGCATTAAAGACTACTCTCAACTTTGTAGTAGTGCTTTCTGACTTAAACACGCCATGGTGAGGCAGATAATAACTTGGGCCAGCTACAGGAGTCTCAATTTTCTCCATATGTGCCAAAGTCAAATATTCATTAAGAACCTCATCATACAAAGTTTTGTTTTCAAGTCTACGCAATAATGAGTTTTCATTTCTCAAGAACTGACTCACAGCAATCTGTCTATTTGAGCCAAGTGATGTAAAGATTTAAATGGCAAATTAACTACATACCTCCCGTCAGCATTTCTTTTAGTAGTAGACCGAAATATCTCCTCACACAACTTATCCCCCTCCGAGAATACTGGCTTACGAGAAATTTCTTCAAGTTCCCAGAATTTTGTTAACTGATCATCAATAGACGTTTTAGTGAAATAGTTTAACCTTACTGAACGACGTGGATTTGTGGGGCCGGTCACAATCCAGCCAAACATGGTTTCTTGAGCCACTAAAGAATCAAAAATACCATGTTTCACACCACCTCGCAGAATATTTGGATAAACGTCGCCTCCCAAAAGCATATCAACTGTACCACTTTTATAAAACCCAGGGTCCGCATACTCCAATTTTGGTATCACAATGTTCACATCTGGGTTATACGAATGAGTTGGAACATTTCCAGTAACTTGGGGGACCACTAAAGCAGTAACATTTAGAGATAAATCAGAATTAACCAGTGAAACCAAAGAAAAATTAGCCATTTTGTCTGATCGGCTAATAATTTCCCCTCCTAGACCTACTACTTCGACTGATACAGGTACAGTGGGCAACTTCAATAGTTTCTGAATTTTTTCGGAAATGAAGCTTTCATCCGAACATGGATCAATTAAGGCTCTCACTTTATAACTAGAACCATAATGCACAATATTAACCCATGCTGTAGCTAGCAAAACTTTTTTAGATACTGAGTGATGATGATTTTGGACTACATTGGATGTAGGAGGTACTTGAGATGACTGAGAAGGAACTGGCTGATTATTAACTTGAACCTGATTGCTAGATTGATTTCTTTGGACCTCTTTTTTTTCAAAATCCCTATGTAAAAGATTGTGATGTTTCCTCTTACATTTGGAGCAACCATTGTTGCTAGGACAATCTCCAAACATGTGTCCTAATTTGAGGCAATTAAAGCAAAATCTAAATTTTCTCAATGTAGCAACACAATTTTTATAATCCATGTTCAAGAATTTAGAGCACGAGCTTATATCATGGATACCTTTACATAATTTGCATTGCGAGGTGTGAACCTTAGTATGATGAGCCTTTAAATGCTTTGTTTTATTTTGATTAATTATTTGAAAGGAAGGTTGAGAACCACTGGCACGAATATTAAAAACACTCTCAAGAGCTCGAAATCTATCAGTCAGGAAATCATTAATTTCCTTCCATTTTGGAATCTCTGCTTTATTTTTAACAGATTGCTCCCATAAATTCAAAGTTTGTTCAGGTAACCTTATAGAACAATGAAAAACAAATAATGGCTCCTATGCATCAATATCTATTTTATATAACCTCAAAGTTGATATACAGTTATTGATTTCCCTTTGGAGCCTTTTAATTTCCGATGCACATTCATCCTGACATGGAGCCAAGTTATATAATAAATTCATTTGATTGTTAAATAATATTCGTTTATTTTCATAGGTGGCTTTCAAATTTTCCCAAGCAATATTAAAATTGTCTGATGTCACGGTAATATTTCTATTCACCTCACGGGCATCCCCACTTGTTTTTTGAAAAAGGTAGCATAATTTCTCTACTGGGCCTAAACGGTCATTGTTTATATAAATTGTGGTAAAGAGATCTCTAAATGTGGGCCATGAAGCATAATCACCGTCAAAAACTTCTACATCACATGCCTGTACAGGCATAGAACTAACATGTTTTTGAGCCATAGATTTTGATGAAGATTCTTCTTTGGGCAACCGGCGCTTAGCTCTAGCCAATATATTAATGCACCTCACATGAGTTTTATGAATCTGACTATATTTAGTCTGGACAGATATTACTTCCTTTTTTTCTACCGTCCCCTCTACATAGGTTTCATAAATAATTTTAAATTTTTCCCACAATTTATTTAACTCTGATTTTTCAAAGTCTAAAGCTTCAAGAGTGTAAACTGAAAAATCCTCTTCTTTAAGCCTTGCTTCAAATCTAATAAACTCGTCGGCAGCATCAATAAACTTCTCCATTTTTTAAATTTAATTTTCAAGTTTAACAAAAAAACTAATTCCAAAAAAATCAATTTAAAGGTGGCTTCTAATGTGTCTCCGAGAACAATAAAAGTATATAAAAAGGGCGCTTATATTAACAGCGACGCGGCAGAGTACATAAAAGAACCACAAAACAATTTTTTATTTTTCTTTATTCTTCAGGAACAACGAAGGTATATAATAAGGCGCTTGTATTAACAGCGACGCGGCAGAGTACACCAAAGAACCATAAAAAAAATAACGGGCAACCAAAAAATGGCGACACTGTATAAAGGCCACTTTGAGACAGGTTTTTTCACTTTTTTTTAATTTCCACAAGTTAAAATTCATGTACATACCTTGAGCGACTAAATAATTTTTATTAAACCTAACTTGCCAATGGGTTCCTTTTTAGGGCGAAGGACCAATGTTCGGGCCACTATCCAGAGATGACAGCCACAAGATTTAATGGGACCACTGGTTGCCGGCAATTTGCTGGTTCTGTTGAGCCTTTTGTTTATGTACAATATATTTTATTTTGAGAACACCAATTCTCCTTAATTTTGGTACTATACCGTTGAACCACCACTTTACTTTGATTATTTAAAACACCTTAGTTTTTTTCTCTTTTAACAAAATTTAATTTTATTTAAAAACAGATTTTAATGTTGTTGATGCTGCTGTTGGTTGATCAATGGCAAAAAAAAAAACTTAGATAAAAAATTAATGTTAAGTTAGTGGTAGATAAACACATCAAGAGTTGCATTTATTAGTATCAACTAAAGCTTTTGTCAATTAATAACCATTGTTGTACAACTAGTGAACAACAGATGGCGCCAGACTAAACTACAGTAGTTGACATAAAATAAGTATGTTAAACAACTGGCACTAACAAGAATAATTAAGCCCAAGCTATATGAAAATTAATAAAATTGTGTTTAAAAAAGGTGGTTTTAAAAATATTTGATTTTAATATTAAATATCTTATATATACAATTTCGTGTCAAGTGACCCAAGCCAAACAATAAGCAGGCATTTTGTCGCCTTTACTCTGGGTTACCACGATTAATAGCCTCCTAAGGACCCTAACCGAGAAAGGACTTCGATCTGTCTGCTATGCAGACGAAGTCGTAATACTTTTAAAGGGAAATGATCTAAATTTCTTGTGTAGAAGAGCTGAGGAGGCTCTGAATACGGCCTTGAGCTGGGCTCAACCGAGAGGTTTAACCCGGCGAAGATGGAAATCTGTCTTTTCACAAGAAAGACAAAATTTTCTACATATACTGAACCTTCTTCCCGGGCAAGAAGATACCGGTGACAGACTAAGTTAAGTACTTAGATGTAATACTTGATCGGAAATTTAAATGGAGACACCACATAGAGGATAGGATCAACAAGGCACATCGGTGCTGGGCGATATGTAGGAGAACCATAGGCATGAAATGGGGTCTTAGTCCTACTATGACAAATTGTCTTTATAAAAGTGTAATTGGACCAATTCTAGCTTATGCTTCAATAATCTGGTGGACTGCTTTGGACAAAAAACTACTACAGGGAGTTCAGCGTACATGCTGCTTGGGTATAAGAGGTGCCATGTGTACTACTTCAACCAAGGCTCTGGAAACGTTGCTAGATATTCCACCCATTGAAACATATATAAGATATGAGGCGGCGCTTACAGCCGAACGGCTCTTTACTTTATGCGAACTGGCCAAAAACGGTTATAGGACACGTCATCAATGTATACTGGACACATTGGAAGGTTATACACATTCATCGGACGTGCCTGATCGCATACCAGACACTGAATATGTCGGAAACTTTGAAACGCTAATCCCAGATAGAATGTCTTGGTCAAGCGGAACATTAGAGCAAATACCAGTAGGAATCCGTTGCTACACGGATGGCTCTAAATTAGGGGGCAAAGTGGGCCTGGGGTTCTATATTGAAGACCCAGAAACAGAAATATACCACCGTTTACCTAATCATAACACAAGTTTCCAGGCAGAAGTACGAGCAATAACGAAATGTGTAAATTGGATTAGAATAAATATGGCGCCCACAGGGCTTAATATATTTACCGACAGCCAGAAGGCAATTAGGGCGATATCAGGTCATAGAATTAAATCTAAGACCGTATTGGATTGTAAGAAAGCTTTAACTGAATACTCTCCCAGAGGTAAGGTTTACATCATATGGGTACCAGGCCACTCGGTAGTAGTCGGCAACGAAAGGGCGAATGTAATAGCTTTAAAGGGAAGGGAGCTCGATGTAGTTAACCTGGTAAACGCAAAACCATTCGACGTAACAAAAGCTGAATTAAAAATATGGATGAGAGAATCCCATAAGGCTTCTTGAAATAATGAAACGGTGCACAGTGGTATAGGAAAAAAAAAGAGGGAAATAATTCGGTAACTTCTAAACGGTTAATCCGATTTTAATGAAATTTGGTATGCACAAAGAGGAGGTGTTGTCGAGTTTAGGTTTTGAATTTGGACCTTATAGGCCAACCAGGGGCCCGGCGGGGGGTCCTCAAATTAGGACACCTCGGCTATGTTAAATTTTTAAAACGATCCTATTTCTTCATTTGAGTTCCGATTTAAAAAAAATTTCGTATATAGAATCTCCTCATCGAGCACTATAAAAAATGTCGTCGTAGCAGTAAATTATCTCTTATAGTTTAGGAGATATTCGCATTTGAATATTAAAATTTTAAAATTTTTACCGTCCTTACTTTAGTTTTTTTGATAATAGCAGGTCCAAATATTTCCGATTTTCGCCATTTTTTTTTATTTGCTTAACAACAAGTTTATATACCAAGCAGTGAAAGAATTATGTAAAAATCATGACTGAGTCCAAAGTTATAGGCATTTAAATTTAAAAAATTAAAAAAAGGCGATTTTTTGTCATTTTTTTGGGAAAAAAGTATCTTTTTCTTTTTAAGTTATCTAAAAAGTTTCTAAGAAGATGTATATAGAATTTATACTTTTTGGAAAGCTGACTTTACATAAAATACGATAAATGAAACAAAACCTAAAAATTTTTGATACCGAGGGGACCAGGTCCATCCAAAAAAACCCTATTTTTTATGGAAAATTAAATTTTGAGCAAAAATTCTCAAATCGCATAGTCGATATCAAATTATAGTGACCTGTTTTATATGACCCAATATGTTCTTAATAATTTTGTAACGGGTTTCGATAACCCCGCCCCTGGTATGGATATAATAGGCAAAAAACTAAAAAATCCCATTTTTGGGATTTTTTAAAATTTTTTTGTTAATTCCGGGATTTCTAATAAGAAAATTCGAAATTTTGATTTAATTTTGGATTTTAAGTAAAAAAATCTACCTAACTGTAAAATTTCATCAAAAAATATTCATAAATAAAATTTTTATTGCAATTAGAAAAATTTGTATCTTCGCAAAAACTGAATAAAAAACATTTTTTAATTTTTTTTAAAAAAAGTATTCCGCGAATTTTTTAATTTTCAAAAATTATATACAGTTTTGAAAAATAGACAAAATTACCTTTCCATTGATATATAACATGCCTACCTAATGTTTTTTAAGTGACAAATTAATTAGGGAAAACTCAACATCTTTTAGAAAATTTACCTAGCACTATTATTTTCATCCATATATGTAACAAATTTAAGAGTTAACCTTATGGATGAAAATAATAGTGCTAGGCAAATTTTCTAAAAGATGTTGAGTTTTCCCTAATTAATTTGTCACTTAAAAAACATTAGGTAGGCATGTTATATATCAATGGAAAGGTAATTTTGTCTATTTTTCAAAACTGTATATAATTTTTGAAAATTAAAAAATTCGCGGAATACTTTTTTTAAAAAAAATTAAAAAATGTTTTTTATTCAGTTTTTGCGAAGATACAAATTTTTCTAATTGCAATAAAAATTTTATTTATGAATATTTTTTGATGAAATTTTACAGTTAGGTAGATTTTTTTACTTAAAATCCAAAATTAAATCAAAATTTCGAATTTTCTTATTAGAAATCCCGGAATTCCCAAAAAAGTTTTAAAAAATCCCAAAAATGGGATTTTTTAGTTTTTTGCCTATTATATCCATACCAGGGGCGGGGTTATCGAAACCCGTTACAAAATGATTAAGAACATATTGGGTCATATAAAACAGGTCACTATAATTTGATATCGACTATGCGATTTGAGAATTTTTGCTCAAAATTTAATTTTCTATAAAAAATAGGGTTTTTTTGGATGGACCTGGTCCCCTCGGTATCAAAAATTTTTAGGTTTTGTTTCATTTATCGTACTTTATGTAAAGTCAGCTTTCCAAAAAGTATAAATTCTATATACATCTTCTTAGAAACTTTTTAGATAACTTAAAAAGAAAAAGATACTTTTTTCCCAAAAAAATTACAAAAAATCGCCTTTTTTTAATTTTTTAAATTAAAATGCCTATAACTTTGGACTCAGTCATGATTTTTACATAATTCTTTCACTGCTTGATATATAAACTTGTTGTTAAGCGAATAAAACAAAATGGCGAAAATCGGGAATATTTGGACCTGCTATTATCAAAAAAAACTAAAGTAAGGACGGTAAAAATTTTAAAATTTTAATTTTCAAATGCGAATATCTCCTAAACTATAAGAGATAATTTACTGCTATGACAACATTTTTTATAGTGCTCGATGAGGAGATTCTATATACGAAATTTTTTTTAAATCGGAACTCAAATGAAGAAATAGGATCGTTTTAAAAATTTAACATAGCCGAGGTGTCCTAATTTGATGACCCCCCGCCGGGCCCCTGGTTGGCCTATAAGGTCCAAATTCAAAACCTAAACTCGACAACACCTCCTCTTTGTGCACACCAAATTTCATTAAAATCGGATTAACCGTTTAGAAGTTACCGAATTATTTCCCTCTTTTTTTTTTCCTATACCACTGTGCGGTGGGTAGAACCACAAAGATTCTATGGGGTGACCCTGATGAGAGCAAGACGAGAAATCTCCTC